AGAGCCATTTGGCACCGGACAACGAGTCAAGGGTGTCATCTGTTCGCGGTACTGGGTACGCATCCTTGATTGTTACGGCATTGAGTCTTCTATAGTCTACACAAAACCTTTGTGTCCCATCTTTCTTTTCAACAAGGACCACGATGGAAGCCCAAGGGCTGTCTGATAGTTCTATGATACCTCTTGCTTTCAAGGCGTCTACTTGCCGTGAGATTTCTTCTTGCTGAGTTATTGGGTACCGTCGGGGCCTCTGCTTTATGAGGCGGGCCTCCCCCGTATTGATTGAGTGTTTTTACTAAGCTCAATTGCCCAATGTCCTCTGGCCCCCTTGAAAATACATCCTGATATTCGACAAGGAGGCTGGCCACCTTGTTCTGATCCTCCTTGCCTAACTTAGAACTAGCTTGTGCGTAGAGTTCCGCCAGATGCGGGGGAACACTTACCCTAGCCTGACTCTGGCCGGCGTCAGGCTGAGCCCCAAGTGGGGTTGGGGTACAACGAGGAACTGTACCCACATCTTGGGGGTCCACTGGGGACAAAGTGCCAACCATGGTGCCCTCCCTAACCACGCACTCGTCTTTTCCTGGATTTATTACACGCACCCCCAGGCTACCACGGGAGGAATCAACTAAGGGCCTCTCGACAATCATGCCCATCTTTTCTATCTCGCTGCCCTGCGTCACTGGTTCAATCACCTCAATGCCCGTCAGATAGGGGCCACCCGCTACTGCGCCAGGAATAACAGCCTCATGCCCAGCTGGTACGACTGTAGTGGTCCCCACCACTACCCTGGCACACCAGGCCCCACCCTCTCTGTCGGTGCACTTAACATTTACCCCATTAAGGTTAAGCTCGAGCTTCCCAAAATCTACTACCCCATTCGTGGGTACTAGGAAATCAGTTCCCAATATGCCGTCCACTTCTATTGGTGCAAATATTGCACGCACACTGTGGATGCTTTTCCCTACTTGAACCTCAACCCATGCAACACCCAACACCGGTAGTGCTGTGCCATCTGCTTGGCGGATGGTCACATCCTGCTTTTCTAGCTTTGGTCTCAGTCCCAGCGGCATCTGGTGATAGATAGATACGTTAATTATAGTGTCTGTTGCCCCCGTGTCAATCAGCATTCTCAACTTTACCGATTTCACCACACCCACGACATACATGCCCAGTTGTGGACTCACCGGCCCTAATTGCACAGCTTTCCCCCGGGCCTCTGGGTCAGCTGCCCGCCGTTTCCCTGCGGTGGCGCGCCTTTCCTTTTTAGTTTGGGGTACTCACGCTTGAAATGGCCTGGCTCTTTGCAATGGTAGCAGACCCCCCGCGACCCCTTTGGCTGCTCCTCCTTTACAGGAGGGCCCGCGGCCTCGACCTGCGCATTGCCCCCCAACACACCAAGTAACTTTCCTAGCTGTTCAGCTTGTTGGGTCACTAACTGCTCCAGCTTTGCAATACGTGTGTTCGTTTCCCCATCCAGAACACGCGCGAACCTCTCTACCTTTGGTGGCCTAGTACGCTGCGCTTCGATTTGCTCAAAATTCTCTGTCTCTAGTGCTGCCCGAATTGCATCATCCAGGCTTCGTGGCTTAGCCCTAAACATACCCTCACGAATACTTTGGTTTTATATGGCATCTGCAAAATGGTTCTTGGCCAGCCTATCATGACTGTCCCGAGGTATATCTGGGTACGCCTTATCCGCTAGGTCCATGATTGCCTGTCAGAGTTCCTGCAATGTTTCTTTTGGTTTCCGCTTGCAGACTTTTAGCTCAATCAGGTAGTTCTCTGCCTGCTGCCCAGGCCCAAATCTACTCCTTAACAGTGCCAACAACTGCCCAAAGCTCTGGCGAAGTCCACTGCTACTATCGCCAAGGATCCTTAGTGCACTGCCTTGTAGGCTAGCCCTGAGATAGTGGAGGGAATGCACATCAGTCCACCCATTGACTTCACAGTACGCCTGCAAGTGCCGCTCGTACTCATCCCACGGCATTCTCCCATCATACCTGTCCGGCATAATATGAGGTGGCCGTGAGGAGTCCCTAAATCTTTCTTTGTACTGCCCTCTCCCACAAAACCGCTGGTCCCTCGTGAGGGGCCATGGAACCTCGTGAGGGGCTTGTGTCTCCTCACTGGACCCTCGTGAGGACCCATAATGGAACTGTCCTCCTCATGAGGGGCTTCGCATTGCAAACCCCCTCACTTCATACGGCTGCACTCTGAACCCACCTACAGGCCCTTCCGAGGCCCCTGGACTTTGTGAGGACCTTCGTGAAGGGTTCTCCTGAGCACCCCCCTTTTGTGACTTCCCCCTCATGAGGGGACTCCGCCGGGCCACCTCCCATGACTCTCACCTCATGAGGGGACTCTGCCAGGCCACCTCTCATGACTCTCCACTCTTGAGGGGGCCGGCACCTCTCATCTTCAGCCGGCAAATGCACCCTTAATTCCAGGGCCTTCAATTCTTCTGCTTTAACTGTTAAGTCTTTTACAGCCTGTTCTACCAAAGTGGCCCAGGCATCTGCCTTCATCTTTTGCTCATACTCGTGCACCAAAGTCTCCCTTCTCGCCTGGGCGCTCCCAGAAACTGTGTGCCCCCGACTGGGAACAACTCCGCACCCTACCCGAGCAGCCTCTGAGGGTGACTCCCCCACCCGTCTTCTTTAACAAAAGAACTACAAGAGGTGGAACCTGCACCTTGAGCATCTTCTAGGATCTTTTCACCAAACCGGCCAGTCGGGAGAGCCTGTGCCATTCCCATGCCCTCCCCCGGGCCAGTTTCTCCCCGAGGTGTATCCTTATCTCTTTCCTCACCCAGGGACCTCAGGGTTTTTTTAACTCGTGCGTCCCTACCAATGACCAAAACCCAGGCATCCTATACAGGGGAAATCCCGCCTCCCCCTCCACCTCGGGCGCCCTTCTGGTCCATGGACACGGGCCTCTCCCCTTCTAGGTCCCAACCCTGCCGGGCCCTGGGCTCCCTGCAGTGCCCACCTTCTCTGGCCGAAGATTACCTCTGTGCCAGAAATAAGTGGAGTGCTTTGAAAACCCACTATCGGCAAAACTTTTCTGCCGATAGTGCCGGGCCACCCATTGCTGCGTCCGTCCTCGCCAATCTTCGCCCTGCGGCGCGGTGACCTCCATCCCTGATAACTTTTTTCCTCGGATAGCAAAAATTCTTTTGCAGTTAGCTAATTTTTTTTCAAACCGGATAAGCGGACAAAGCCATCCTTCCTCTAATTTCCTCGGTGTAACAATCCCACTTCTGACACCATTTTGTGGCGGTTTCTCCTCCGTAGTCCGCGAACCCTTCGCTCGCCGGGCCACTCAGCCCTGTCGCAGCGCCACTCGCGTGTGATTTGGCCAGGGCCTGGATCCGTTTGGGTGGAAATATACCGCCCGTTACACCAAGGACAACTTGAAGGAACACTGAACGAAATGGCACGCCCGGCAAAGATATGTGTGATACCATCTACTTCTAGCGGTTTTATTCACTTCCACGCACTTCCTCAATGCGTGAGGTACCCTAACAAACTAATGTTAAACATTTACAAATGGCTAGGAGGGGGCATGAGGACCCATCGCGCACCCCATTGCCCTGTCGAGATACACTGTCACAAAATTAAGTAAAGGTACAGTACCGGTTCATGTACTCACAAACGTCCCGTCAGTACCCAATCCTTATGCACAATCCAAGATGAACTAACAGTTCGGTCACAATCGTCCAAACATTAAATAAATCCCGTTGTGTCAGTCGATCCAATCTGAACTCCTCGGCAGCTCGGCTTAGACTGACTAATATTCCCCATTCTGACATTATTTAACTCCCTCCCAGTTTTCCACAGTCATGAAAACATCATCTTAGCACAAAGATGCAAAACAATGGTCCACAATACCCATTTCAACCTTTCTTCCATTTACTAATTTTTATCATACTCCGGATGTTGTCAAACTCTCCCCCCTTTTTCCATCATGGCAGTCTTATTAATTCACCAGTTCCCACTTTCCACACTGAACATGATTTACTCACTGAAAACACGTTGTCGAATCCCCTGACAGTTACACCAATACCCCTTTGTTCCATACCCCTTGGCTTGACATACTTGAAGGCCCCCGGTTTCCAAACTCCCGGACCTAACCCGAAACCTAATTAAGCGCATCACCGGTCAACCCCACTTCCGTTCTTTTGGGGTTTAAAAGGTCACCAGATATTCGCGTTACACTATTTTAGCATTGGGTATGATATACTATTACAACAAACTCTCTCTTTTGCGTCCCTCCAGGCGACGCAATTACACGATGGGACGGCACGACAACTCCCTTCCGTCGGGCCATCCCGTGGTACCGTCCGACGTCGCATCGTATGTCATTTCGTGCATCGTGTCGCCTAGTGACGTCGCCTGAAGCATGCACGACGCGATGCACGACGCAGGGCGTCCTGTGCTAACGTCTTTTGCCACTACACTGTCTATAGAGGGCGCTGTTACTGTCTTCTTTCAGTTCTGTCTCTCACGGGCGCACTGAACCAATTCCAGCTCCATTGAAAAAAGTGAACAATTGACCAAGTTTGGAACCCTATTGTAGGCAACTGAAGTCCCTGAGGCCTCTCAAACAAAAAACAATCTGTTGTTTGGTGCTGAAGAATTCATTTGATTTTCAATTTTTAGTAGGTTAACCAATTGATTTTTAAATTATCCGCCAAAAACAAACTCAACCCCAAAGTGAATGTTCCCAGTCTTCTTAGTGGCCATTTTTCAAATGACATCCTTCACCTTCCGGTGGCTCTTGTGACAAATATTCAATCATATTTGTGTCTGCATTGCCCCAGATGGGTGCCCTTGAATCTACAGGGATAATTCTGGGCAATAACAACACAATCCCACCATTTCTTGGCCCAAACAGACCTCTTTTGGAAAGAATCAGTAGGGGTACTTTTTGTGCACCTAGTCGTGCTGGAGAATTTTCCTTAAATTGGGACACTGCACCCTCGTTCTCAGATTGTTTGCCCAGTCGATTGTGGTAGATCAAAGATAGCGCCGCTAGGCAATCTTTGCCGTTTCGCGTTATGTAGACGTCTACATACACACGTGTACACGATATACACAAACGTGACCGAAAGTGCAGCCGCATATCGTGTGCTCCATTTGTGTCGTAGTGTTATGAGTGCAGGTCTTGCCAGTTGTCGAGCGCGACTTGGAAGTACTTCCACGATGAGTGCTGTCCGCTTATGTAGAATTTTTACCCGTATCAGGCCTGCAATGTTAACGACAAGGTAACACTGAATCACAGCACAACTCTCATTACTGAGACCAGGCATAGGCCTAAATACCTTTCGTGTTTCCGGTATTCGAACATTTGGACATGTTCGGCGATATAGCCCAGTCCTTTGCCTACATGTAGGTAGGGAGGCTCATAAAAATTTTAGCTACTTTGTCTGTTTTCTTTTTGAAGTGATTTTGTCGAGGACGTCATAAGAAACATTTTGATGTAAGTTTGGATTTCATCGGACTCTGCAAGGCAGAAAATTCTGATTTTATATCGAGATGTTTTGATATGTGTTTTGCACTCTAAAATAGAGAGCAAAGTGTGATTTTTTTGTACACAATGGATTTTGACTGAATAGTTTAAAATTCACATTTCCATAAAATGTTTGTTATTGGTGCCTAATTTCAATAAAGCTAAATGCTGGCGTTGCTTGAAATTTCAAAAATTTTGAAATTGAAAATAGGAGAGCTGGTCGAGCTTGCGCAAAAAGACAAAACTTAATCATAATTTCCTATTTAAGAAACTGAGTTCCCAAATAAACAGTGCCCTCGCTCATTTGTGCGTGTCCCAAATGTAGGCCTAAATGATGTAGCCCAGGTTGGACATTGTCTTCATTTAGTCCCATGGTCCCCTATACTACTCACTAGACTGACGTTCAGCATCTCCAGGGTGCATATTTTTTTATTTACACCGTAGCCTACCCTAGGCTAGGGTTTTTTCTGTGGTGGTGCCAATTCGGGCATGAAAAGAGACTAGTGCTAAGTACGTTTGCGAGCGCATGGGATTTAACATGGGGGCGGAAACATGACATAATTGTTAAGAAAGTCTTAAGGAAGGGTTCCAGTGCATGGCACTAAAAACTGGAAGATATGTCATTTTTGTATAGCTTTAGATGCTGCTAAATATCATGTGAGAGCTTCACTGGGAATTGTAGTACATGTACAATGTACTTGGCCTACGCAATGCAAAACATGATTAAACGTGAACAAACCAAACGTAACTTCACGACCGAAATACAGTACTAGGCTCATATTTAATAATAATGAGTAACATTTGTATTGAGTCTTTCGACGGTTTGCCTTCTTCCATGCTTCAAATGCATATGGGCAGTGGCGCACAAAAGATTCTTGGCTCTGCTGTACAGTGCACAGCTGGAAACGGGGAGTCTTTAACTGTGAGTATGTGAAGCATTACTGATGCACTTTGCTGCAAAGCTATAACGTGTCTCCTTGTTCGACTATGTAAGCTGAACAAAAAGAGGAAATGATGCAGATGAGGTTGCAATCAAGGCTTGAAGACCAACCTGAACATGTTTCCAGTAAAATGTATTGAAATTTTGTTTTTTTCATACTGGGAAATAAACAAAAAATGAAACAAGAGAGATGAACGGGGTGGAAATCTCAAGCTGCTTGAAAACAATCCTCATTAATGACCCACCTAAATTGTTCATAATGTCACATCGCACTTCATGTTCGTGCACTTGTATTTTACCTTCCCCCCCCCAAAAATAATAATGCTAAAAAGCATTGCGTGAGCTATCCTAGCTCATCAAGCCAGCGATCACAGTGGTGATTAGAATTCTACTTTTTTCACCTACACCAAAGAAATAACCATCAGAAGAAGAGGGATCACCCCAATACTGTCCCAATCCATCGGTCTATCACCTCTGAAGTATCAACTTTCCGAACTTAGTACAGATATTTATTTGCTGTAGTGCAGGCACCATCATTTCATGTTTTCGCACACTCGCTCTGACTGGTTCAGTCCTGCATTAGTCTCTTTTCAAGCACAAATTAGCACTACCAGAGTGAAAAACCCAAGGCTACAGTGTAAATAAAAAATATGCGTCCAGGGTACATGTGTAAAGTCATCCTAAAAAAGTACAAGTACAATGCCAAATTTTTTTCAATGTGTTTCTCACATTTTACTTTGTGAAAACAGCTTAAATGTTGTTCACAAGCTCCTTGTGTCCCAAATTCCATAAATGCTGCCTTAAGGCCAGTTTTCTGGAAATAGCAACATAGGGGATAATTTACCCTGCAAGTAGTGAACATCCCGGTACAATTTCAGCTCATAAAATCCAGTGGATAGTGGATATCTGAATATGCCCCCAGACATCCCGGATAAACTTGTTGGAAAGAAATCTTAGGTAAATCGGGACAGGGCCAGTATTTGACATCAGAGTATACATCAGGCCCTGTTTGCGGGTCTTGTGTAAGCCCTGTCATGCCCGTGAATGTCACATAGGAAGATTGACTGTAAAAAATATCCTTTTTTGTGTGTGTCCTAAATTAAGAGTATGAAGAGGTCTATGTGATGGAATCATGGGTTGGGGAAGGTGGGTTTGAAAAAAGAATGCGGGATTGGTCTTTCGGATGCAAAAATGGATGTCCTTGCTGTGCCTCCTCCTCTCTCTTGGGTCTCTTCTCTTTCCTTCCCCAGTACCTGTCCTTGCCTTTTCCTTACTTTGACATCACCAACTCCTTTTTCTCACGGTTTTTTCCTTCTACGGACTGGGATTTTGAGTCATAATTTAACTAAGCTCCACAGTAAAGACCCCCGGCCATGCTAGCTGTTTGAAGGGAACAAATTACTATTGAGGGCCTGCCTCTCGATGTATAATGAATGTATTAATGGTAATAAGAGATATTTAAATACATGTAAGAGCATGAACATTCTACGGAAACTTCCACAATAATGTTACATGTGTAAATCTTGAAAAGGTACATGAACATGTACATTGAAGTTTGCCAAAACTGGATATGGTGGGTCTACGCATCAGCAGTCATTCAGTAGAGCAATTTGTAGTCACAAATTCACACACCCATTCCGAATTCTATAACTCCAGCCCAATCAAATGTGACCTGTCCCACAAATATTGTGTGCATGTAGGATGTTGGGCAAACACTTGTCCACGCCAAAAAAAAAATTAAGTTAAAAACAAAAACAGTAGAAAAATTGATTTTTTGTTACATGTACATGTATGTGTATCTCCTCTCATTGTTTCACTTTTTGGTAATGCTCACTGGGAGTAGTGACTCAGGCTTGATTAACACTCACTTGATTCAGATTTTGTTACTGATTTTGATGTCACTACATAATGACCAACATCTCTAATCCAAATAAAAGACATGTACATGTGTACTTGTAGACATAAAAGAAAAATTGGTAAAGACTGCTACTTTACCATCTTAAACTCAGAAATGGACACTTTAAATGAAGTGTAATTAATTAATTAAAACATGATTATCCCTCGCATATCATTCATCATGCACTTCATCAAAAAAGCTGATTGAAATCTAACCAAGTGGCTCAAATTGAACAAACATCCCCTCAGATTACATGTATGTGTACTTGGTACATGTATGAATTAAAAGGCTTGTGAAGGGATTTGCTATTTCAAATGTCTGAAAGTTGGAAACATTAACAATCAGTTGAAAAAAAAAGAAAGTTGCAGCATGTTTGCCTTTTTCGAACAGATGTGAAGTGTTGATTTCAATCAGTGATTTTATTAAAAAAACGATCTTCAAAATTTTGTTTTAAATTACGATGTGGCCTCTGTCATTCCTACATGTACATGTACTGGCACCAGTATCATGCAGTATACGTAATAGTACCTGTGCATTAACTCTGAAAACAAGAAGTCTGAAAACAACTTCAAATAAACTTACTTTGCCTATGCATGCATGTGACATGCGTAAATTTATGACATAATTATTTCAAACGTATCAACATTATGTATTGACGCATAACAGATCAGAAGAGCAAGATAAGGTTGTGATTTTTTGTTTGTTTTTTAAAAGTGTTACTAGAAAGTTACTCAACTTACCTAAAGCTTTCTCATAATTTGTGTCTGTAGGCCGTGCATGCAGCAGGTGGTGTGGTTACCCATACTTCAGAATTGTTTGACACTACCATCAATAAACTGTGGACTGAAGCAGGTTATTCCTACATGCATGGCAACAAGAAGTTACAGCAATGATTCTATCCCTCCACCTGCTCTTGATGGAGAGGTCAAATACTCTGAAAAACTCAACAACATTGTGCAACAGATCTCAAGCCTTACAATTGCTGAAGTAGCAGATCTAAATAAATTATTGAAGGTGAGCAGTATATGAGGATATATAAAGTGTATATAGAAATTATTTTATCAGTCTTGGTACATAATGTATGTACATGTATCATGTTCCGTACTGAGCAATTTCATATACAAAATCAGGTTGGCTTGGTAAAACCTGGAAGTAAAACCCTTGTGATGATGTTGGTCATTACTGGGTAAGTGTACATGTTTGTGGATGTAGAGTGATTCTACCATGATATACTTAAGTTTGTAAAACAGGTGTGAGCTAATCTTTGATTAAGTTAATGTTAATCCAGTAAACTTGATGCATAGATGTACATGTAATTACATGTACATGTACACTATTGGAAATCCCTCTCTATAAGCAAACTACATATAAACTCCTGTGATAACCTCTTTTTACAGAGTGAACACTTCCTCAAAAGAGATTTCCTGCTGTTTATTTGCAGAGCAACAGTAATTTCCCAGCATACATGTATGTTTTACTACCTGAATTTGAACAAGTGTTTTATTTGTCCTCATAGCAAACTTTAGGAATCCAAGATACCCCAGTCATGGCAATGGGAACAGTAGCAGCACCTGCAGCATCCCAAGAGGTAACTTTAATTTTTCTGGATTGCTTATGAGTTTTATAAGATTTTTAGTATTTTATACATTCTCAACTATAATGTTGACACTAGTGGGTACAACCTCTTTAGTGTGTCCTTTGCTCAGCTTTTGAAGTTTTGCTACAAGTGTTCATGCACTCACTAAAGCTCATGTATGAATGCCAGGGGTAGACTTAGAAAACAAAAATCACATGCACTGGTGCATGTAAACTTTAAAAGTTACATGAAAAAAAATGTACATTCACAAAAGTGTATCTGCAAGTAATAATGCTAAGTGTAATAAAGTGTAAAAGTGAAGGAGGTTTATATTCAGTAATGTCAGTGTCATTAGTGTCGACACTTGCACACAATTCTGCTGAGCACATGTAGCTACAAGTATAGTCACAACCTGACTCTTGATATCATGAAGGCTGGCAGCTTTTTTTCCCCACATTGATAAGATGATAAGGTTTTTCGGGGCTAAACTGCTTTTATTACATGTACGAAGCATTTTTAACTGACCATGGCACAGATTAGGGATTGCACACTAATGAGTCGTGCGTAAAACTTCGTACGTAAAATGATGATACACAAACTTTCAACCTCTACAGCCTAGCAGCAACTTGCAGTACAATATGCGTGGATGCGCAGCATGCAGCAGTCGCCCAGAGGGGTACTTCCAGCTCAATCGCAATACCCTTGTCTTTTTACAGTCGTTTTTCATGTTCCCGCTGTGTGGCTTGCAAAGTGAATGTCCAATGTAGGACAGTCTTGGTAATAAGGAAAAGCCTGTCTTTTCTGTAATGGTGAAGCTGAATTAGTCTAGACGAGTTTTGTAACATCTTTAAAAAAAATGGATGAAATTTCTTCTGCCTTTTCTTTCACAGGAAGAAGATGATGATGATGAAGTTACTACTGCTCCCAAGGAAAAGACTCAATTCACAGTCAAACTGACAAAATTTGACGAAACAAGCAAAGTCAAACTTATCAAGCAGATAAAAGCACTAACAAGTGGTATGAATCTTGTACAGGTAAGTGTTATTACCTTTCCTGCTTATCTTGTACTGCAATTACTTTGCCCTGTAGTGAGGAGTTTGTACTCAAATCAGCTCTTCCCCTTTTACTTTCATTTAATACCATGGAAGAGAGGAAACAGAAGTCTTGGTAATTTCATCTGTGTGAAGATTACAGGTACAGGTGTTCAAGTGCAGAGCCATGTTAAAGTTAAAAGCAAAAGTCAGCATCAACCCAGATGGCAAGTTGACAAAACAAAGAAATTCCTTGTTATGATGGCTGATTATTTCTTCTGTGTTTTGTTGCTGCACATGTCTCTGTATCAACAGGCCAAGAAGTTTGTGGAGTCTGCACCACAGATTGTAAAAGCTGATGTCAGTAAAACAGAAGCAGAGGACATAAAGAAACAAATTGAGGAGGCAGGAGGAACTTGTGAAATCGAATAGGTGTCCTTTAAGGAAAACTTGAGAAAGGCTTTTGTTGTGGTTGCATTGTGTATTAGAGTGAGGATGTTTTTGTATGTGTCACCTAATAATCTTAGATCTTCAGTGAGCATCAAAACCTGGATGTGTTCTGATTCCCTGTAAGACAGAGCGGAATACTGCACACACATTTTCATTGCGTTTCATGCTGTTTTAAGTGCATTCGATCTTTTTTATTTTGATGATAATGCAAATTAATTGGCATATTTATGAGCAAAGTGTAATGTCATCTGAGGCAAAAAACTGAGTGATATAGAAATATCTGCATAAAAATTACAAGTTTTTATCTAAGTTTATGATGGTGTAAACCAGTGAGTATTACTCTCACAGCTAATTTCTTAAATTCAGTAAGGAAATTTTTGGTTTACGGTTTGAGGGGAAAATCTCCCATGACCAATGTCATCCTGTGTCAAAGCTCCAACCACCCTCATTTACTTAAAAATTGTGGAAAAGTTGAAGGCCACCTGTCAGAGGAATATAAGTAGAAGTCAGATAATGTAGTTTTCTTGACATTTAAGAGGAGAAAAATTGCACAAATTATGTTCCCCTGTACAGATGGTAAAATGCACATTACAGACTCCTCAAAATGCATCATGGTCGTTGCAGTAACTTGCTAATTTGTCCCAAAATTTGAGGCATATATTTTGAAGTTTACTCAAGGATGATTTGCAGTGTTGGTATGCTTCCCTTGCAGAAATGTCCCGTGGTACTGTCCCAATAACCTACACATTTTGTGGTACCATATTTTTTACCATTGCTACAGGACATTTTCAGAAGAGTATGTACATGTAATTAGTTCAAACTCCACAGAGTTCAAATAAAATTAATTCGGAAATTAACATTTGAAATTGTTTTTTTTTTTATTCTGGTGTCTCATTTTTAGGGTAAATGTTTAACAAGTAAATACTCTGAATACTATGTTATCAAAGTAGCTGGTCCTCTAGTGCGAGATTTTCTTGTCCTGAACTTTTGGGTTGTGCCAAAGAAAGGAAGGGAAATTTGATAATGAAATGGGAACATAATGGTGAAGTCTTCAAGTTGCGTTTAAATTGATGTTTTCAAAGTGTGAATATTTGGAAAAAAGCATTGACGTGCAACAAGGACAACGAAATTATTTATGTTCGCTTATCAACACAATTATTCGTTGACTTGTGAGTTAGGATTGAATCTGGATTTCAACCTGGGAAGAGATTCAAAACGCTCCGAATCGTTAGTTCCCACGTTATTATTATTACTACAATGTATACAATCGTTGAGTCCTTTGTAACAGAGGGCGCTTCATCAAACCACTACACTTACGGAGCTAACTAACTTGATGTTGAATACAGTACAAAGTGCATATACGTATATGAACTCATGTGTTGGCGTACATGTACATGTAGGCCCAACGGATGCAATGGCGACTGCCGATTTGCCAGTGAAATTGAGTGAATTAAATGGTCTAATATCGACAAAAAGTGGTCTACATGTCGCGGAAAAGGCCCAAGATCTTGTTGTTGACCTTGGGCATCTCTGCCTTCGTCAGTTATCTGAAAATGAGTTAGGTGAGTGTCGGTAGCATAGTACTTATTAGTAGTAATAACAGTACATAACAGGGTAAGCAAACGCTGGGCGTGGCCATGGTGCATGTTGGCGGGTTGAGAAAGATGACAGTCGGACTCCAAAATCATGCCTCCGTCCTCCCTCCACACCCAACTTAGTACTTTTAAGGGAAAAACAATGCATCCTGACTCCACTTTTCTCATCATATACATGTATCATCTCAATAAAAGTCACGACAGAAATGCTGGACATGCTTCAAAGGCACGAATTCTGGACGGAGAAACATTTACCGATGTTGTTGAGAAATACATGTATGAAGCCCTAGGCCTAGGCATACTTACAAAATTCTCTTCACTCCCCATACAGACTTTGTACATAACTGCTGGAGTGGCGTCAGGATGCAACATTTTTCCCTTTTAAGTTACTTCTCTTTCTACTGTGTTATCAGCAAAGTCCCAGAGTTGTTGGCCTAATGCCAAGGAAATTCAGGGTGCATTTGCATTTTACAGTGTACGTGCAAATCAGTCCTAACAAAAATGTTTTTCGGATATTTTGGGTGGGCATGCCATCAACATTCATGACAATTGACACTGTTGTGGGGATCCGTTGTCTGCTGCACCCCCACCTGGTAATTGATTAACCACTTCATGCCTGGGCATTTTTCAATGTTGATGATGCTGGGCCGGCATGACTATCGTTTTTTCCGTTTTCAAAATCCTTCAAAAATTCATTATTTCATTTAATGCTCCTTTATAGCTGCATAAAATTTAATAATAATAATTATCTCTGGCCTGATACTGTATACCTGTACATCTGGCCTAATACTGTATACATGTTGTAGTGCAGCTGCCACCAACTGGTCTCTAACCCTTGACTGGGGAGGTTGGGATCATAACCTGTCAGATGTCAAGTGCAGCAGTAGTACAGTGACCCCATTGTTACAAGTACATCATGTATGCACATATTAATCAGCGATCAAACGTGAAAAGCTTAGTTTTTTCATTGTTAAGTTTTCAGTCAGTTTCAGGTAGATTTAGTCATTTCTGGTTTGCCCTTTTTTAATGCCATACAAACATGTATGTACATGTGATAAGTAAGACATGTAAGAAGATCTTTTCTTTTGAATAGGAAAGTATGTACATGTAACTAGGCCTGTACCGGGTACCTGCCCGTCGATTTCAAAACCCGGTTCCATTTTTCCGGGCTCGGTACCTGTCAAAAGAGTAAGTAAATTAGGAACAAACATCCACCCATAAAATTCTGTGAAATTTCTTACTGAAGGGCAGACTTCCACCGTGCCACTGAAAACCTGGTCCCGTGGTCATACATGAAACTTTAATTCGGAGATCGACAGCTAATTTTGTTATCCACTCCGCCCATTGTACTGCAAGTCTTTTCCTAGGTCCGGAATTTTTCTAGTTCACAAGAGCACAAAAACCACTAAAATTCACGGATGATAGGTCACTCACTACGTGCGATTTCAAATATTTGTCTAGATTGAATACCCGGTAGTCTACAAACCTTTGCATCTAATGTCTGCTTAATCAAAATGACTTTTTTAGAGTTTCCGTTTTTGTTAATTAACCGAAAACTGCAAGCTTTTCCCCCTACTTTCGGATCGGGCAACATTACCATACAAAGTCATTGTGAACTCAACTACACGGGCACAGCAGAAATGTTTGTGACGTAATGGGTTCGTCATCTGTGCGGCATGGGGAGGGTATCGTTGATAGCTCACCTTACAGTTGAAAAGTTCAGTCAAACTTTACACAATTTCTACTTTTTAATTAATTATTATTTTCATCTAATTTTCTCAAAATTAAAAAAACCTTTATTAGAAAATCAACTTTTTAAAATGGTTCTGGCTAAAAATGGATTTTTCGTATGGTTACTATGTGTGGTCACCTGACCTTTCCTTTTGCGGTCATGTGGCCGCTGCAGTGTCAGCAATTGGACTGCCTGAAGGGGACTATAATTGGGCCCACGTTATAATCAGGTTACCGGTGGTTTCAGTGTCTTGAAAGCCAGGATTACGGTTGCAGCTACGTTGATTTGTGCAATATGCATACAACTGGTCCTCATGAAAAAAGAAATGCATTTTCGATGACTCCTTCTTCCGATACTTCCAACGCCATTTGAAGCATTTTGGTGGCGGTTTTTTAATCAGAAACTTCAAAATAAGTGGATATAATGGTGTGGGCATTGTTCGAGTTACGGTGGTATTTTTGTACATAAAACTTTAAGCTTTTTAACCCGTTACGTACATAGCACTGATCTGGTCCGCACGTGACACAACCAGCACTCACCATTTGTGCACGGCACGTGTGTTCCGCGTGTACGTGGCCATGCAGCATCTAGGACATTTCCTTTGAGAGGTTGCAGGTGTGTATATCATGCAGGTGGTTTGCAGCTCTGTCCTCTTTCCTGACGTTCCTGTGAGGATATGTTTTTCTGTTTCGTATACCCACAAAAAAATTTGCAAACTGAACGATGTGCTGCTTGCTTCCTATGTACCAAAAAGAACCGTGTTTCGGGCACATGGTCCACCGGGTCGTGCACAATGCCACTTGTTACCATTAAGTGATCTCTTTTCCGGGTACCCGATGTTAACAAAAAACAGGTACCTGGTTCTAAAAATACCTGTGAGAATTTGTTTTTCTGTTTCATATACCCACAAAAAAAAATTTGCAAACTGAACGATGTGCTGCTTGCTTCCTATGTACCAAAAAGAACCGTGTTTCGGGCACATGGTCCACCGGGTCATGCACAATGCCACTTGTTACCATTAAGTGATCTCTTTTCCAGGTACCCGATGTTAACAAAAAACAGGTACCTGGTTCTAAAAATACCCGCAAATTCATCTGTACATGTACAGTACGTAACCTGGTACACATACTGGTACATATATACACATGTACATGTACGTATGTGCAATTACATTCTAATTGCTATTTTTTAATTAATACTCATAGCATACTGCTGCTCACAGCTGTTTAATAAGGACAATGGCATCCTGGTGTTCCTTAACAAAGCCATCCCCAAAGATGAGGTATGTAATCATTCTGATGAAAATCTAACCTACCAGTTGGTACATGTAGTTCATTCAAATCTAAGATTTTTTAATCACAGTATATGTAACTTATATTGTACTGCTTGTCCTGTATTGAGATTTTAAAAATTTTTGTATTGAAAGAAAATATTTCTCAAAATCGGCAATGGTCAGTACAGTGTACATGTAGTTGGAAAGCTTGAAACATTAGCGTGTATAGGTCTAGAAACATTAAGTTCTTAGACGGTTTTAGACGGGGAAACCTCTGAATAAATATCCCAGTAAAAACCCACAGAATTAAGAACTAAAACTGAAACTCAAATTCAAACAGAGGTGAAAGTCTCTGCACAAGTGAGCCTGCACCAACAAATGCTCGTATCCTATACAGTACCTCATACAGTTACGTGTGGCAAAACGGTCTATGGAAAATGAGTTATAAAATTGATTTCAAAGATCAACTGTTCTTTTCCTGTGACTGATTAATCAGAATATTGCTTGTAATCTAGACAGTTTTTTTCTTTAAGTTGTTTTGAAACTTTTACATGTACTTGTAGATTTTTATTCTCCATTTACTGGTAGTTGAAGGGAAGCAAGGAACAACTTCTGGAGTTTCTTCATGCATTTTTGCTCAAGGCGGGTTCCCGCCTGCTAGCACGCACTGTAGAGATTAAAAAGATCTGTATCTCTGCTTTCATGAGAGATAAATCAGCCAAAGTCAAGACAAAGACATTTCCCGTACTGATAGAGGTAAGCACATGTATTTATAATTAACCCTAACCCTCCTCAATCCTTCACCTGTTGGAGGACTGAGGAGTGTTAGGGTTAATGCAAGTGGGGGCATGTTTTGTACAAGCAGATGTCTTTATCGGTCAGTAGAGATGCAATATGTGCAAAGATACAATGCATTTGCACGCCTTCATTTCTTGCATTGAAAGTTTTCAAGAGCAATATGTATTTGCACTCATGCCTAGTACTGTACTGGTACATGCACAGGAGTGACACACATCGTGTGGACTTCTGATCAAGAGAAGCACACATACGGTAATGCAGGGTATGACATTGTGTGGACTTAAACATGTCCACCTGGCATTTCCCCCTTTCTGAAAATCGCCTTCAGAGGCACTTTGGAGTCTTCTGCAGCAAAATGAAGAGAAAGAGTGTACGAAATCGTTATCAGCGCAACAAAAGAAAGTCTACATTAGATATGCCAAACAAGTATTCTATAAACTAGTTTTTTTTTGCTTCCAGATCGCGACGTAATGATTAATTTCCCGTACTGACACATAATCACTGAGTTTAAGTTGTCACTTGGGGCTTGTTTGTTTCATGAGGATCTGGATTGCAATCAGTGATCTGTCATTGGTCACTGATACCTGAACCTGCCTAATGGATTGCATGAACCTGTTCTGGGATCACTGACTGCAAACCAGATCCTTGTGGAAACCAACAGGTTCTATGAGGCACCATGGATAATGACATTCTTTTGTGTTGATTGTCCCATTACCATACCTACATGTACATGTAGTCCTTATTGTTTCATGTCAACAGTTGTTGCAACGTTCTGCATCAGCTCAGATGGAGGCAGATCTTGATATTCCTAAGATGATTGAGCTTTACTTTGAGCAGCTTATGCAGCCATCTAAGCTCTCACAAACAGGTACATGTAAACAAGTAATGACACAAAGTTGACCCAATTAGCAGGCATTCAGCTCTTCTGCGGATTCACGGATTTCTACTTTTTAAAAAAATCGAACCACAAAAAATACCACCTTAGGCTTTGTCCGTGCTTCTGCTGTTTGCTCACACCTTGGATTGCGGTGTGATGGACGCGACGCTGGCACTCGGCAAAAACTTATACAGTAGTGCAGCTTCTACTTGGAAGAAAGAATAAAAATTGTCGTCTGGTTCTCTGCTAGTGTTTGAGGAAACTGTTAAATATCCAGGACACCCGACTTTGTTACATACGAGATCATCGTAGCGCTTTTCTCATGGTTCTTTTCAGAACCATACAGACTCACAAAAGAGATCGTACCTTTGCATGGTGCTACCGCAAGCTTTCCACCTTAGTTATCTGTCACCATGAATAGCTTGAAATCCCATCTATTCTGGTCTGGTCAATAGCCTGGCTCCATATCTTTTTCTCTATCGACTTGCACATCGCGACGTTAGGACACAGACTGCATGTGCTGTCGCTCTGTGCCTTGAACATGTACATGTATGTGTCAGACAAACATCCGAGATTGTTTGACAACCTGGAAAAATGACTTCAAAAACGAAGGACATGGTCACAAGCCATTTCTAGTACTCTTGAAAAAAGACTTTCTTCAACAAGATTGTTGTGGCTAACATGTGGACGACCAGAGAAGAATCAATCAAGCATCTTGCTGAACAAAAAGCCTCTGCCAAGCATCCACTTCAACATCCAAAACCCACAACAACTAAAAGAAGAGTGCTAGAGGTTGCTGCTAAGGTCGCCAAGAAAGCCAGACTAACTCACATGGAGAAAATAAAATCAACAAGAAGCATCAGTTAGAAAAATTTGAGATGTCAAGATACGTATGTTGTATACTTCAAATACAAAAAGTAACAGAAGAAATCTTGACAAGTGTGCAGATTGTGAAATGAAAAATATACTTCAAAAATTCAATTCAAGTTTTCAGAACTCCCCAGAATGCACCAGAGAGTATTTAGAATTCAAAATTTTCCGGGGCCCTAAGATGGGCCCAGGACCATACACCATATTGGCTTTTCAATGCGTTCTCACAGTATCATATACTCAGGTTTTCCTCTTTTGGGGGGGGAACAAGAGTTGCATGTGTAGCGGGCATAATATGAAAATTATGGCACCTGCTTACATTATTTATTTGCTTACTAGTTTACGCCTTTTTATTGTCAGCCAACTTGTGGAGATTAGTGCGTTTCCGGCTAAGCTAGTGAAAAGTTTTCACACGCTGTACAAAAATACAAATATCCTAAATCTAAAGGATACATATATTAAAAAACAACAAGAAAAACCCAGGGATTCTGTTCACAGAAGATTATTATTAAGTAACAACAAAAATAAATAAAGGGCCTAGCTCGAAGTTGTGTTGAAGTTGGGGATGACTTGTCCTGGCTTCACTTGGCAATAAGCTGGGGAGCCTGCAGTTAAAGGACTTGCAGATCAAGGGGGCTTGAATGAATTCTGAGGATCATTGGCTACGTGCAGATCATGTGCAGGGCTCGATAGCACAGTCTCTCCTTCCCCGGCTTGAGTAAAGCAGGCGTGGGGAACACAATTCATGCGACTCGGCTCCAAGTCACTCCATGTCCAGCAGTACATACAGCTCAATAGGCTCACTAAGGTTACCCTAGTGCCTCAGTACTAGTGGTGTCTTTGCCTAGAGCAGGACAGGGACGAATATGTAATTGTGGCAGGTTCAATGCAAGGAGAGATCACAGACAACAGAACAGTCTCTGTCGAGTCCAGTAGCCAAGTGGAGTGGAGGGTCATTGGCCACAGAATTTATCTGCTCCTCCTCAAGGACCTTTGTGGTTGGTTGCAAGTTCTGCTACCAACCTGCCCACACGTGCTGCCAAGCAACCCACACATTTCTAAGAAACTGCATGACCTAACTCTGGGGAGTTAGAATTTCAAAAAGTGGGGGGCATAAAATTTATCCTATTACACATGCCTGAATTAGTTGAAGAATAGTTGCTCACTGTTTCCAGCGGTGTTCCCTACAGAAAACAGGCATGGTAACTCCCTATGCTTCAGTCATCATTGTCAACACTCTGCCGAGACACACAAAATCAGCAGAAAACTCCAACAGTTTGCTACACAAAGATTTGCTTAGAACTTCAAAAGACAAAATATCAAAATGCTAGTAAGATTATGTGAATGTCGTGCTTAATTTGCAGCTAATTCATGTTTTCACTTTATCCTCTCGCAGTCAAGCAAGGTATTTATTGTCTGTTGGGTGTTCTTGCTGAAATCTATCCTGTTTTGATGTCTGGATATTCAGAACGGCTGCTTAGTGTCTACATCGCAACACTAAACCAGCAGGTAATGGCAGTTGACACTGAAGAATTAAACTTAAAATAGTGCATTTTAAGTTGAATTTATAATGATACTTAAAATAAGGTGCATATATAGTATGAACTCTTCACTCTCAAGAAATGCTTGAAAATAGAATCATTATGTTTTGGTATTTTCTTACAGATGACATCGAAGACCAGAAAGCCGGAACTTACAGTCATAGCTGGTTGCCTGACTGGCTTGGGACATTACTTGGTCAATTTCACACAGTCAGTTGAAGAAGGTCAGTGGTGTTTTGTGTAAAGCCAAATGTGTGCAGGCCTAACATGTGCTGTAGTTGGCATCTCATTTTCCTAGCACGGAAGAAACTAAGAACAGAAGAAATGTTGGTACACATGTCGTTCTTACTCTGCCAACTTGTCCACGATGTATGTCATAACTTTTACAAAATACTTTCACATGAACATTAAAGGAGTTACAACGTACATGCTCATTTAAATCTCAAGCAACAAGTTGCATCTTGCATGCAGTGTGCAGTTGAGTCCTATTACCTCCTTTAAATATTGACTGAATATAAATATCTCAGGATGTGAAGTGTAGACTTTGCCATTCACCATGTATGCATTGTTGCACATGTACTTGAGCCTGCATGGAAAAGACGTGATGAAGGGATATGAAATTTGCACATACCTGTAATACATGTACTTACTGTTGAAATACTTGTACGTGTATGTATCATTTATAATTGGAAACTATGACTGTACAGTTAGGAAGAACCTGGTACTGGTACCACCCAGCATCAGTGGGCTAAAAATAAAATCACATGGAGTGATAACTTAATTAGAAAATGATAGAGGGCTTTAATAAGTTATGTATTCAGCTGATTAATTAGTGAATTTTATTTGACAATCTTTCCATTGAATAGGACAGGTCACAGCATATAACGACATTCTGTATAATCCAAACTCAACTACTGAGCTTACTGTGGGATGTACATTGAGGTACATGTATAGCATAAGTATGGTGCTGCACACATGCTACCTGTACATGTATTCATCACATTGTGCATACAGGCACCATACTGATGCTTCAACATCAAGCATCGTAAGATACTATCCAAGCCTTGAAAATAAGCCTTTAAGTGTGCAATTAGACTTGTCCTCGCAGTTTCAAAAGAAGTTCTTTTTAAATGAGTTGTGCATGCAAATGAGTCAGTATAATTGGTATTAAATGAATTTTTCTGTAGTCTGTCTTGACCAAGTGTTTTCTCATAGACTGCACAAACCGTCAGGACTGATAGTTGGGTTGGTTTTAGCTGGAATTTCATGTTAACTAAATTTGTACCAGCACATAATGAAAATCAATTGAATATACATGTACATGTACATACTTTACAAAACGGTAATGTTGATGCTCACATTTGATAATCCCACTTTGCCAGTTACATTTGACAATACATGCACCTGCAGTCTGTTCAGTTGTCCTAGCAAATCTAACCAGCTAAAGTCCTACTTAGCTGTTTTTCTGACATCCCTCTTTTCAATCTTCAACCAAATGCAGGTGCTAAGCATTCCAAAGATATCTACAGATTTGCCCGCATGGCCATTGATCCAACAGTGGACCACACACGCTATGAACTCAACAAAGCTGGGCTGAATATGTTTGCCAAGCATTCAGCCCAGTTTGGCCCGTATTTGTACAGTGACCATCAGGTATGGAAAGGCTATCTTGTAATACTGGTAACAAAGATAATCGGAAGTATAATTGTCTTAAGATATTAGATTATAGACTTCCTTGCGTCATGTATGGAACAAATGGTGTTAGATCTGTGCTTATTTTGTATAGATTAGATTTCATTTATCAATTTTTGACATTCAGGGGAACTTTGACTTGTTCAATGTGATCTTGCATGTGTAAAATGATTCTTGCAGGACTTACATGAGGCTTTCAACAAGTGGAGTGCCCACAACAACCCAGCAGTAAAAGCTGTTGGATTTGCGGCTCAAGAGGCATTTCTTCAACAGATTGCTGAGATACTTGTAGAGAGAGCAGCCAAACGAGATGCGTCAGATATGGCTGTGTTCAGGGTAAGACGTTGGGAAATGGGACTCATGGTATGTGGCTGTGTTCTTGGTTACAGTGTTACAAAATTACACTCAAGAGATGTGGCTTTGTTAACTCCTTGATGACGGGAATTTCTTTCCGAAAGCCGACTCCAAGAATTTCAACGTTGCTTGGCCGCGAAGGCCACCTGCCAAACTGCAAATTCTTGGTTTGTGGCCCTGCGTGCTCTGCACGCTTTGAATTACACAGTGAAAAGGCTCATTGCTCGGTGGCATGCGGCTCTACTCATGCTTCCACATTCCCG